ACTAGAGAACTTTAGCTATTTTTTAAGCTAAAAATAAAAAATATTTGTTAGTAAAATTAAAAACTTTTATATGTAAGAAAAAATATGTATTTTACAAATTATAATTAATAAAAATTTAAATATTGCATTACTTTTGATGATTACTATAATTAAAAAATTAATTATAATTTTTTTGTCATTTTTTTTTTATATATCATTCATTATATTATTAATATTTTTTAATTGCTTTACTTCAAAAATGATCTTTTTATTATAATTTAAAATTTAATAATAATTATCTATTTTTTTCTTGTTCTGTTTTCAGCTTATAATAGTAGATAATCATCAAAAGTCCATTAAAATCACATGATAAATGTTCACGTGGGCCATAACTTTGGTAGCGCCTAAAAATCGGGCTTTTACCGTTTTCCAAGGAAAATTGCATTTCACACACATGCATGAAATAATCACCATACAATTTGGTCATTTTCCAAATTTTATTGGTACACATTTTTGGAATACACAGGTAGGAAAATCTGTTTTACTATTAATAAACTACAGTTCAACTTAAAGTACCTTTTGCTCCTTATACATTAGGAAGCATATTTCTTATATGATGATTATTACGGTACCGCGTCAAATTCACCAGAGATCTCGCACGATGTTTTGTTTAGAGTGGGCGTTACTGAGGGGGTGGTTATTGATATATAATTTGATCCGATTTATTTTAATTTGCTAAAAGTTTCGTTGTATTCGATACACATATAGGGCCTCGAAACATATACTCCTAGATTGATAATTTATGAGCTGAAAGGTGTTCTTGCTGAATTGCAAAATCGGAGACGGACAACTGGGGTTTATTGATGATCTGATAAATTTTATATATAATGTTTTTAGGTGGACTCGGATCAATGAGCAGGAGGAATAGACTTTATGACGATTCCTCCATGAAAGTGCAATCTCTAACGAAGACATGGTTGGTTTTGAAAACACAAGATTACAAATTATGAACGAGTAGTTTTGATTTAGTTACATTATGTAATAGGGATTGGGGGATTGAAAAACATGTGAATGAACCATACAACAAAAATGAATTTTTGAGAGATTTGGAGGCTGAAGAAGTAAAGCATTTTCTCTTTGTTTAAAATAGTTTTCGAAGTTATTACAAACAGTAAAAAAAAGAATCAATCCGTAAACGCGGGTTTTTTTTGTGAATTAGGAAACTTCTACTTTACCAATCGAACAAGAAGCACCAACTGAAGAAATAATTTACAACCTTGAAGACTCTGTGAAAGTTTGGTCAGATTTTAATCGCGTATATTACCATCCAAAAACTGTGAATCAGATCAATCAGTATCAGTTTGACGATGAATTTATGCCGTTTGATGTGTTTTCTTATGGACAAGAGTGTTTTGTGCAACACGAAAAGGTTTTGTCAATATTTACATATGGATATGCTGTATGTATTTAAAAAAGATAGCAGATTGTAATTATTATATTTGGTCTGGACATTTTTTATTTAGGAGGAATCGACATTTGACGATAATTTTAGGTTCTTTGCTGAAGAGTGTGATACTATTCAGGTGAATTTTAATAAAATCTTTTATATTTCTATTATTAATTTCTAATTTTTTTTACTTTGATTAATAATGCAGGGGATCCAAATTTTTACGGATATTTTAGATGGGTTTGGCGGGTTTTCATGTAACTTCCTCGAGCAATTACGCCAGGAATATCCGAAGAATGCGATCCTGACTTACGGAATTACGAACAGCCAGCGATTAACTTCACCGCAGTATTCTGTAAAAATTTATTAATTCATTCCGTATTTTTTTTTGTTGCATTGTCTCAATATTGATTTATACCAAATAAATTTGCTAATTATTTATTTACTTTATAAAGCTTGAACATTACCATAAACAAACTCTCAATACCGCATTCAGCGTAGTACAGCTTAACGAACTGTCATCATTTTACGTTCCACTGACCACGCCAGTCCAAGAATCCAGAATCTTCAAATATATCCGGCCTAACGTACGCGGTCGTCGTATTTCTATATGTATGCACAGAATCAAAACCAAATTAGAATATATAGATTTTGTTTACGATACATTCACTTCTCTTTTATGCTTGTTTTTTTTATAAAGTTACATCTCCCATATCATTCTAGTGCAATACTTTCGGCCGCCATAGAAACAACGTCTCTCGCTTTTCGGTGAGTATTCTCTTAGACCAAATTTAATTTAAAGTGCTCGGGTTAATTCTTCATATTATTTATTTTCATTAGATTACGCCACGGATTCATGTCCATGATTGATTTGCTTGGGCAGTTGAATTGGCGAGGAAATACTAAAATTGGGAATTTAGACTCGGCGTTTCCTCTTTGTGGGGATACTGATGTCGAGTCGTTGTTGGACGATCAAACAGGACTGATTGAAGATTTGTCGATACGAGTTGAAAATGAAGCGGTATTTAGATTTTTTCCGTAGAAATTTATGTTTATACTAATACTTTCTTTGGTTTACGAATTATTATTGCAGAAAGTAGCTGTTTTTGGTCAGTCTATTGTATTAAGGGGGTTTCCTGATAGGTTTGTTGTTTGTTAGTAAAATGCTATTAATTGGCAAATTCAAATATGTAATTTATTTACACAATTTTTTTTATATTCAGCTCTGCAAGTGTGTCTGAAATAAGATCCAGTATATTACAAAAGTTTGAACAGTCTGGTTGTCCAAAGACCTTGAGGTGACTATCCTTTCTGAATACTTTAAAAGTTTACATTTGAATGATCTCTTATATTTCAAATAGATTGTTAATTAATTTGATAAATTTTAAATTTGAGAGCCATACCACAAAATTGCCGTATCCCATTCCAAACTCTTATCCACAATTTTTCGATCATTTAAATATGACTGGATATGTCGATTTTGACAGGTAAATACATGTACAGTATTTGATTTGTATGTAAAAAAAAAAGGGATTAATATTTTGCTATATGGACTATATGACGGCAAGTATGCATAGAGGTTGGTATAATAATTATTGCGTTATTTCAAGAAATTTTCCAACAAGTATTAACTGCTGATTTTATCTGCAAAGTCAAATCTGTTCCTGCACTTTCCCGCCTCGCAGTTTCTTCTAAATCGCGTCTTCTTTTCGAAAGATATCTGAATGTTCTTCCTCAAATAAATTTCAACCTTTACCCACAATACGGGGAAGGTGCGCGAGGTTTAACACAAGATTCTTTTGTCGAGTTGAAAGAGGCGATGTTTGATCTTTGTGATATTTATGAAGAGGAGAGTTAAGAGACCTATCTATGTAAATTTATCCTAGTGTGGCAGTTGGATAATGAGAAAATTTGAATGCATAACGTATGCTTATAATAATAAAGAAACCACGTGATCGATGATTTTTCCAGCTCAATGTTAACAAATATTCTTGCGGAAATCTCCGTCATTTTCGTATCTTTTTAATCAACGACCAATAATTTTCCTTTATAACTAGTATTGCCCGCACGAAACATTCATACGCATGCGCAGTAGCATATAAAATTTGTCAGTAGTACAACGTGACCGCGTCATCAATTGCGTAAGCTGGACGATAATATGAATTGAACTTTAAAAATTTTGGTTCACCACGCTTGTATCTACTTTTTTTTGTTCTTTTATCATACGTACGTAGCCGCGTGGCCGAGTGTGTGAAAGTTCTTTTTGTAAGTTGCGAAAAAAGTATAAAACATTCACACCCATTCCTTGCTCTTAACGAAACAAATAAATAAAGGCTTATATCACAATTTTTTTTTGGTTTTTTTTTACTATTGCTTATTGATTTAGTGATATATTAAATTACATTAAATATACTTGGAGAATCTTTGAAGACAGACAGAAGTATCTTTTGAATACATAAGTATGTCAGATTCAACTAATAAAGGAAAATCAAAACTCCCGTAAGTATCTCATGTTTCTTTTGTTCGTTCGTTTCTGATCAAATGGGTGTTTGGATACCTTGAATTGGTTATTGCTCCATTTGGTTAATTTTTGTTGAAAAAGTAATATTTACTTGCGTGTTATTTATGCTATTTTGACAACTTTCAATCGAAAAAAAAAATATTTATTGGCTTTAATGCTATTACGCTTTCCTATCATAACTCGCTGTTTTCGTGGTTGACATTGATTGGTAAAAATAATTCTATATGATCTTCATACATATCATATAGTGACAACGCAGCTCCCCCATCAAATTCAGATCCAGATCCAAATGATCCAGCAACCGCAATATTGCGCAAGAAACCGGCTCCTAATAAACTTATTGTTGATGATGCGACAAATGATGATAATTCGGTGATGACAGTCTCGCCTGCCACCATGGAACGATTACAACTCTTCCGTGGTGATACTGTACTGATCAAAGGCAAAAAGAGACGAGATACTGTATTAATTGCATTAAGTGATGATAGTACTGATGATACTAAAGTTAAAATTAATAAAGGTACATTTTTTCAATTATCAACGCATGTATATGTACGTGATTATTTTTTAAAAGAGAAATTGTAATTGATGAATCAATTCTGTTGGATTGTTATTTAGTTGTGCGAAACAACCTTCGTGTTCGTCTTGGTGACGTTGTTTCAATCCACTTATGTTCTGAAATCAAAAATGGCAATCGCATTCATGTTTTACCAATTGATGACACAATTGAGGGTGTGACAGGCAACCTATTCGATGTATACCTAAAACCATACTTCTTGGAAGCATACCGACCAGTAAGGAAAGGTGATTTGTTTTTGGTTCGTGGTGGTATGAGAGCCGTGGAATTCAAAGTAGTAGAAACAGATCCGCCAGAATATTGTATTGTATGTTTCAATAATATTTTATTTTTATTATATTGAATTTCATCTCAAGACATGGTATTGTGATTTATTAAAATATTTCAATTTTGAAAATTAGGTCTCACCTGAAACTGTAATACATTGTGAAGGTGACGCAATTCGTCGTGAAGACGAAGAGGCGAACCTTAATGATGTTGGATACGATGATATTGGGGGTTGTCGGAAACAAATGGCACAAATCCGTGAACTTGTTGAACTTCCGCTACGACATCCCCAACTTTTCAAATCTATTGGTATAAAGCCACCACGTGGTATTTTGATGTATGGCCCACCGGGCACAGGTAAAACTTTGATGGCTCGTGCCGTTGCAAATGAGACTGGCGCCTTTTTCTTCTTAATAAATGGACCCGAAATTATGTCAAAGATGGCTGGCGAGTCAGAAAGCAATCTAAGAAAAGCTTTTGAGGAAGCTGAGAAAAATAGTCCCGCTATTATTTTCATTGATGAAATTGATGCTATAGCACCTAAACGTGAAAAGGTTAGAATTTCTTTGCCTGGCTTCTTTCACAGGGAATGTTTAGGTATTAAGATTATTATATCTGAAAAAAATTTAGACTAATGGAGAAGTGGAACGACGTGTAGTATCGCAACTTTTAACCTTAATGGACGGAATGAAAGCACGGTCCAATGTAGTTGTGATGGCAGCCACTAATCGACCGAATAGTATCGATCCTGCCCTTCGACGTTTCGGGCGGTTTGATCGTGAAATAGATATTGGTATTCCTGACCCGACAGGTCGTTTGGAAATTTTGCGAATTCACACAAAGAATATGAAACTGGATGATGATGTTGATTTAGAACAGGTAAGAAAATTGACTCATTTAGTAAGAAATATTTTTATTTTAATATAATTTTTTTATGTTTATAGATTGCCTCGGAAACTCACGGTTATGTTGGTTCTGATATAGCCTCACTTTGCTCTGAAGCTGCCATGCAACAAATCCGTGAAAAGATGGATCTCATTGACCTTGAAGACGAGACTATTGATGCAGAAGTACTAGACTCGTTAGCGGTGACTATGGAAAATTTCCGAGTAAGTTGTTTATCTCATTTGTGCTCTGACCGTTTAAAACTATACAGAAATCGTATTTTGTTTATCTCATTTTCAATTAATTATGATAAATTAGTATGCATTGGGCATATCAAATCCGTCAGCATTACGTGAAACTGTAGTTGAAGTACCCACAGTCACGTGGAACGACGTAGGTGGTCTCGAAAAAGTAAAACAAGAATTACAAGAAACAGTTCAATATCCGGTCGAGCACCCTGAAAAATTCCTCAAATTCGGTATGTCACCGTCAAAAGGTGTCTTGTTTTATGGCCCACCGGGATGCGGTAAAACTTTATTGGCTAAGGCTATTGCAAACGAATGTCAGGCAAATTTCATCTCTATAAAGGTAAATACATTAAAAATAATAACGTTCATATAAGCTTATATTAAATGCTAGCATTTTTTGTGACGTTAAGGGTCCTGAACTACTGACTATGTGGTTTGGTGAATCAGAAGCAAATGTTCGTGACGTTTTTGACAAAGCACGAGCAGCCGCCCCTTGTGTAATGTTCTTTGATGAACTGGACTCGATTGCCAAAGCTCGAGGTGCTTCAATAGGTGATGGTGGCGGTGCTGGTGACCGTGTGCTCAATCAAATTCTCACAGAAATGGATGGCATGAACGCAAAAAAGAACGTGTTTGTAATCGGTGCCACTAATCGACCTGACCAAATAGACCCCGCATTACTTCGTCCTGGTCGTCTTGATCAATTAATCTATATTCCACTCCCTGACGAACCATCTCGTTTATCAATTCTAAATGCCACTTTAAGAAAATCACCAGTCTCGTCAGATGTCGATCTAACCTATTTAGCAAAATCGACGCACGGATTTTCTGGCGCTGATTTGACTGAAATTTGTCAACGTGCTTGTAAGTTGGCTATTCGAGAGAGTATCGACAAAGAAGTACAGCGTGAACGTGCGCGTAAGGAAAAGCAAGAAGAAGCTGGTGCTGAAGCAATTATGGATGAGGACGACGAAGAAGATCCAGTTCCAGAAATTACAAGGTATTTTTTTACTTTATTTATTACTTTATTGCTAATATACATTAAACATTTTTTTTAATCAAATTATAGACAACACTTCGAAGAAGCCATGAAATACGCTCGTCGCTCTGTCTCCGACAATGATATCCGCAAATACGAAATGTTTGCTCAAAATCTTCAACAGTCTCGCGGATTCGCATCAAACTTCAAATTCCCTGAAGGTGGAGTCGGTGGATCTTCATCACTTGACGCTGGAGTCGGTGGATCTGCATCATTCGATGGCGCAGCGGCCAGCGGTGGTGCAAGTGCAATGGATACGGGTAGTAATAGTGGGTTTGGTCAAGATCCTGGTGATGATGATTTATATGCTTAATGGTAACAGTAAAAAATAAAGTATAATACAGTGCAGGTCACTTAGTCACCACACAAAAAAGCCTAGTTTTAAATTCTATCAGTGACTTTTTAGTAATTAAAAAAAAATTAAAAAATACGTAAATTAATAGTTTATAGTTTGCTTTTTAAATTTACGTATTTTTTTGAGTCAGAAAGTTCTGGTTATCAAGTTAATGTTCATATATAAGATTGTGAATTTTTGGCCACATTGCATTATAGATAGTGACCCGCACTGTATGAAAAAGCTTCATTTTTCAAGCATGCTAAATATTTATTTAAATAATACATTATTAGTCAAATTAATGTAATTTAACAAAGAGGACATTTCATCTTTCCCTGTCGAGATAGAACTAGCACAAATAATAATTCATTTAGAAAGTCTAGTAAAAAAAAATCTAACATTTCAATAAATTCTTCATAATACAAAAAATAATACAGCACGACGTTAGATTTGTTGGAAAGAGATATTCAGAAAGATAAATATTAAAATGTTGAGGCAGAATATATATAACAAAACTAATTATTTTTTCAATTATGCATTTAGATAATTTTAATATATAATACAGTGACAATTAAAAATAATGTATTACTTGAATTTTATAATTAGTAAAATGCATATTTATCATGTCATTACGTAAAAAAATTTTAAATAATTTTTACAATTAATAATTAATTTTATATCTAATTAGAATAATTTTCTTAGAAAAAATACAAAAAATCTATATTAAAGTAGAAATTTATAATTTTATTTTGAGTTAAAAATAAAAATATTTAATAATAAAATTAAAACTTTTATTTATAATATTTTATTAATTATAATTAATAAAAAATTTAAGTATTAAATTATTTTTAATTATCATTATAAATAAATTTATTAATTTATTAGAATTTATATAATAATAATTAAAAATAATGTATTAGAAGCTAAATTTATTAATAAAGTATAATAAAAATCAAAATTTTCTTTTTATATTAAAATTTTAAATTTTTATTTTTATATTAAAATAAAGTTTATTAATTATAGTTTAACACATATTTTTTTCAGAAAAAATCTAAAAATCTGAAAAAAATATATTAAACTATAATTAATAAGTTTTATTTTGATATAAAAATAAAAATTATTTCTTAATAAATTTATAAATTTTAATATATGGAGAAAATTTTAATTTTTATTATATTTTATTAATAAATTTAATCTTTGATATATTATTTTTGATCATTATTATATATATATTTGTAATTTTATATAAATTTTTTTAAAAAAAATATATGATTTATATAATATTATAATTAATTTTCTATTTAAGTAATATAATAAGATAATATAGTAATATAACATAGTTATAGTATATAATATAATTGCTAATTATTATTAAATCAAATAAAAAAGAAATTAATTTAATTTATTTTTAATTTTATTTTTAATTTATCTTATTATTTATATTTTATCTTATTTATTTATTTATTTATTTAGTTATATATATTATATCAAATTAATAGTTTTATTAAATTAATAATTTTCTAATTAATTATTACTAATTTTTCTTTTTTTATTATAATTTCTTTAATATTTTATTAATTTTAATTCTTAATTACTTCATATTTAATTTAGAAATATTTTTTATAATAATTCTTCTAAGATTTTACTTATTCATAAATAAATTAGATAAAATATTATGTTAAAAATAATTTGAAATTAGCATAATAAAAAAATATTATATATAAAGAATCAAGAAATAATTAAGAAGAATAATTAAGTTTAATAAAAGTAGTTAATTATTGAGTTAAAAATAGTTAACTAATATTTTTTTTAATAAATATATATATTTTATCACATATTTTATTTTTATTTTCTTTTTGCTCTATAAAGAGAGCATTTTATTTGAAATAAAACTCATATAAATTATTTTATTAAAAAGATAATTAATTATATTTATTTTTTAAAGTTATAAAAGTAAATAATTATTATAAATATAATCATTATTACTATTTTAAAATATTGTATATATATAATTATAAAATAATAATAGACTTTTTAATACTTTCTTTGTAAATAGCAAATTGAAATTTAAAAATAATATTATATAAATCAATTTAAATTGAATTTAACTAAATTTATAAATATCAAAATAAAAAGATAATTTCAGAAATTAGTTAATATTTTAAATTCATCTTAATTAACTAGATCTCAAAAAAAAGAATTATTCTAATTAATTAATAGTTTATTTATAGCAGATATGGTCAAAAAAAATATCTCTAATTATAATTATGATTATAAAAATACTTATTTCATATTTCTATTTAAATAACTAGTATTATTTATAATTTATATAAGAAAATTATTATATTTAACTAATAAAGATCTTATTATATCTAATAATTAAGAACTGATATCTTAATTAATATTTTAATTAGAACTTTTACTTCAGTTTCATCTTTATTAATTTTAATCTTAACATTCAATATTTTCTTCATTAATTTATATAGAAAAAGTATAGTTCTAATTTAGTTAAAAAATATAAGAAAAGAGAAATTAGAAGAAGAAAAAATTCAAAATCCTATAATTTCAAACTATTTCAATTATTATTCTAAAAGATATGATAGATAATATTATATAATAATTAGTTTAAGTTCTAAATTTATTAATAATAATAATAATAACTTAATAGAATAAATAAACTGAACTATTTATAGTATTTTTTCCTACTTATAATAAAAAAATATATAAGAATCTTATTAATTAAATTAAAAAATTTGAGTAATCTATTAATATAAATAATATTACTAATAAAAGAAAAGTGAAAATAGTATTCACTTATTTAAAAGAAATCACTACTATTTAATTTTAATAAAATAAAGCTATAAATAATAATTAGTTAATGAATTAGAATATTAATAAAGAAAATAATTTATTTTATAATTTCTTTATTACTTAGTTTAAAATAAATATATAAATTTTGACTTAATAATAATAATTATGATTAAGTATATAAGAAATAAATAAGAATATGATCTTATATATAAAAGATATTTATATTGTTACCGTTTTAAGATTATGCGTATGTAATTATTTTAAAATGGTAATAGTGATTGTGTTCACGGCAACTATTTACTTTTATAGGTCCAAGAGGGTTATACAACTAACTATCTTCTAAATATAGTAATATATGTAAGATTTATAACTGATGAATTATAATTATCTTCTCAATAAGATAATTTATACGTGTTTTACTTTTAACAAAAATACAATTATCTTCTCAATAAGATAATATACGTGAATTTACTTTAACCAAAATGCTCTCTCAATAGAGCAAGAAGAAATAAG